TATACCTTTAAGTATATTATTTATAGTTTTGTACTACTTAATGAACTTAATTGCATTAGGATCAAATTAAACCCGGTGATTGGGTGTTTGGTTTATCACTCGGTGATGAGTGGAAGGTAAAATGTGTAAAACCTTTTGTTGTTTTATCATTTTAGTCTTGTGGATTTTAGTAGGAATTTTGGTATGGAGGACAAAATATATGAAATTCAACTGAATTCATACAGCTCATTAGAAGATTCAGAAACTGAAGAAAATCATTTAACTTATATTATAAATGAATCAAGTATTAACGTAATAGTTTTAATTATTTTAAGCTTACCAATCTTGGTACTTATTTACAAAATATTTGCTGACATTTACTACATGTACACAGTTTATCATCAGCCAGCTTAAGTATTCATTAAATTAAAATGTCTCAGAACAAGGAAACGCAAGTAAGCAGTATGACTAAAAAGTCAAAAGAACGTCAACCTGTAAATCAATTTATACATATAAGCAACTTTTCTGGTGATAATGAAGGAGAAGATCTACTCGAATGGCTAGAGTCATTCGAAGCATCTGCTGCTGCTTTAGAATGGGATGATGAAACAAAATTAAAAGCTCTTCCAGCTTATTTAACAGGAACTGCTGCAAAATGGTACAGATGCTGTATTAAAACACTCGAAGAAAAAGATAAACCTAAGACGTTCGCTGAATTGCAAACAAAAATGGTAAAAGGATTAGCCCCTTCAAACTACAGAAATAGTTTAATGAGAGAATTAAACGAGAAAAGGCAACAGCCTGGTCAGTCAGCTTTTGCTTATGCTTACGATATTAGAGACTTATGTCGAAAATAAATCCAAAAATGGATGAAAATTTAGTTCATAGTTTCATCCATCGAGGATTGAACCCAGCAGTCAAGACTCGAATGGATTTATTATCAACAAATAATGATTTAGATTTTGACACTAGATTGTCCCATGCCGAGAGATCAGTGGGAGAAATAAAATTTTTAGAGGATAGTGGTGAAGATCACCCTCTACATAAACAAATTAGTTCATTAACTGAACAATTAACAAATCTAACTGAACAATTTGAATGTATTCAAATGAATTTAGATTCTCGAAGAAGAGAAAGAGATTACAGTCGAAACGATAATCGATATCGACAAACAACCTACCAATATCAGGCCCCTCAGCCTCGACCAACCTATCAAC